AACATTCCAAGCCATCCATCCGGTGGCATTTGATAAGATCAACATAGCTATATATTTATAATCCTATTATCTCCTAAGTAGGTGAGAACAAGAGATTTGGTCAACATTATTCAAGCTTCATAGTACTGTATAGTAAAATGTTAACGGTAGAAAGTAGGTGGTATTTATAAAGGTACACACCAGAATTTCCTAAACTTTGTTACATGGTTGAAATTTTTCATAATAAAATGTTGGAGGGAAAAAACCACAGCAACTAACATGTCCTCTTATAGTTCAATCTCTAACTTGCAATTTATATTTTTTGGAACAGCATAAATCCTATAGCCTTGATTCTGATGAAGTTTTAAAGAAATGTTCATGTAGAAAATTACATCAGGCCGGGCGTGGTGGCTCAAGCCTGTAATCCTAGCGCTCTGGGAGGCCGAGGTGGGTGGATAGCTCGAGGTCAGGAGTTTGAAACCAGCCTGAGCAAGAGTAAGACCCCATCTCTACTATAAATAGAAAGAAATTAATTGGCCAACTAATATATATAGAAAAAATTAGCGAGGCATGGTGGCGCATGCCTGTAGTCCCAGCTACTCGGGAGGCTGAGGCAGGAGGATCACTTGAGCCCAGGAGTTGAGGTTGCTGTGAGCTAGGCTGACGCAAAGCGAGACTCTGTCTCAAAAAAAAAAAAAAAAAACAAAAAACAAAAAAAACAACCTGTTGTAGGTCTAGTGTGAATCAAATCTGTCATAAAATTCTTTAAACATTTTTGAAGCCTCTAAAATCCCATTCTGAGAGAAAAGAAAGCAACTCCAAAAGCTCTCATTAGAGGGGTAGGAATTTACATTTCCCCAAATTGAGTTAATTCTGTGTCACTAAGCATAACATCAAATAAAATTATCCAGTTTGTAGGCTCATAAAAACAACAGGCCTCTGCCTGTAGTCCCAGCTACTTGGGAGGCTGAGGAAGGAGGATCACTTGAACCCAGGAGTTCAAGACCAATCCAGGCAACATACTCTGAATTGACTTTTGCATTCCACAAAAAGATAACTTTTTCATGAAAGTTTCCTCTGTATGCTTGTGAATTTCACTCTTACTCCATCCGCTAAAAGAGCTCAAAGTTGCATTACAAATTGAGACTCACTTTGTGCCTCCTATGTTCAATTATCTACCTTGTGTTAGCAGGGAGACACTCAGGAAGAAGCAGCACAGTGTAGCCTCAGTGTTTAATGGTAACACCCAGAATATTAACGGTTTGACTTCAGAATTGAGAGGGAAAGTTCCATGAGTCATGTTCATTTCTAAACTCAAAATACAGTAAATCCTTACTTAACATCATCAATAGCTTCTTGGAAACTTCGACTTTAAGTAAAATGACATACAACTTCAACTTTAGATGAAATGACATACAATGAAAGCAATTTTACCCTAGGCTAATTGACGTATAAACAAGAGTTAAGTTCCTATACCGTATTTCTGGTCAGAAAAACATCACCAATTTCTCATTAAAGAACAAAATACTTCTAATATTAAACCCTGAAGTATATGTACATTTAAGAAAGATTAATAAAAACAAATAAGAAAACTATTTATCCACTTATTCCAGTTTGGGGTCGGGAGTGGCCAGAGCGTATGTGGGCAGCTCAGGGCACAAAGTGGGAACCCTACCCTGGACAGGACTCCATCCCATTCCAGGGCACACTCACACGCACACCTATACTCAAAAAGTCAGGGATATTTAGACATGCCAATGAACCTAACATGCACGTCTTTGGGATGTGGGAGGAAACCAGAGTACCCAAAGAAAACGCACGCACGCATGGGGAAAAAAAAATGTGCAAACTCCACACAGGCAGTGGCCCTGGCAAGGAAGCGACTTTTTTCTCATCAACGTTATAAAGAAACGGTATATAACTTATTCTAAGGAAACTATATTTATGGTAACAATTCCAAATGCTTAAAAGTTTAACTTTAAGCTTACTGGGAAGCAGTAAGCATTTTAAAATATATATTGTATCCTTCCCTAGATACTAAACTGGGGTTTTCCTAAATTAAGCTTAAGAGATATATCCTTCCCCATCTCCCAAGTTGTAAAAACTAAAACATAAAACATTTCCACTCTATCTGATCACGCTCAAAAGTAAAACTACAGAATTGAAATAACAATGTTACAGGTCTAAAAGCTAGAAACTGTTCATGACCAGAAATTTGAAAATTAAGTAACAATGACAAACATTTATAATATTCCTGTCAACTTCCATTCTAGTAGAGCTCTCTCTTTGGACAAGAAAAATATAAATACCTATGCTGTGATTTCATACTATTCACAAAAATTAAGGTTTCATTCATACTTAAATTTATTTGTAAATAAAGCAAATGGAGGATATTTAGAAAAACAATGCTACAGATTTAAAATTCTATTTCTTTGCTTAATTCTTAACATAAGATAATAGTATATTCACACTACAGTAAATAAACTTTGAAAGTTTTATTACAAATTACTAACTAGTTTAACTTTGACATAAAGCTATTCTGTATTAGAAGTAGCTTAATAGGTAGGTAGGTCTCCACTGAAACAGGATTAGGGAAAACTGTAGTTCTGATTGCTTTTCAACTATAGTCATCAATAGCTCAAGAACTGTTGCTTTTGTACTCAAAGAAGCAAGGGTGAATTTATTTTTTTTAGGGGCGGGGGCGGTCTGGCTACATTACTCCAGGCTGGACTAGAACTCCTGCACTCAAGCCATCCTCCTGCCTCAGCCTCCTCAATAGCTGGGACTACTTGTATTTTGATTGGACTTTGACGAGGAGAAAGCACTGAATCAACAGCTAATTCGGCTGATTTTTTTTTTTCTGCTTAACAGTTATCTCATACAAACAGAGATGAGAAGCCCAAAGAAATGAGAACTATGATTCTACTCCAAGTAAATTTTGTGACAGATTAACAGCAATTTGGTAAAAGTAAAAATTGCTAATATTGTGATAAGGATGTTTAGGATTTATTTCAAAATAATCCAGTTTGGGGAGGGGATAAACCTTAAACAAGACTGACCTTTGCTATGAGTTAATAATTGCCAAGGTTGAGTGACCAATAAATGGGATTTTCTATACTATTCAATTTTTGTATATTTTCCAGAATAAAAAGTTTAAAAATAACATTTAGGTTATTTATCACAATATTAAAATACCATTTCTCTAGCACTACTACAATTTGTGTTATGGCAGTAGAAGACATGCTTTGTATTGCTTGAATAGTTGCTTGTTTAGGTGTTTTTAAAAAGCCATTTAAACAAAGATTTTTAAATTAGAAATGGCAGTAAGACTCTGCCATAAAACTCTAGGAAAATGTCAAAAACAAGAAGGCCACTTTGCATCATGTGTTACTGAGAGATAGGTGTAAATCAAAATATTTTTAGTTCACTGCCTAAAACAATCCTATGGCACAGGAGGCTCATTCCAGTAGAGCAAGCACACATTCCTTACTCTTGTAAATCTGAACGTCCATGAGTTGCATTTCCTTAATGAAGAATACACCTATACAACTAAGTACAAAATAAAAAGAAACTCAGTATGCTTGAATAAAATCCCACCTGTCACCGGTATGATGGAAACTGCTCCCTCTACATTCCAACTGTATTTTTGGTTTTTACTTCAACAAGTAGCAATGTAATTTACATTTGGTAAGCAATGATTCCTAGAAGGCCAAAATCAACCAAAAACCTGATTTAACTGTCTTTCCACCATCCTCTAAACAATTAAAGCTACAAGTAGAAGGGAAGTGCGACCTTAAAAACGTCCCCACAGTTAGAGAACGCTGGCAGAACAGATTGAAGCACACCTCTTCCCCAGAACAGAAGAAAACTTCAACACAAACAACACTGCAACCCAGAGGTGGGGCAAGGGCTTAAAAGGAAAGTCTGCCTACAGACACGGAGGGAATAAAAGCAAAACTGCAGTGAAAAAAAAGTTAGAAGTTAGAGATATAGAGCAAGAAAGGACAAATTTTTCCATCTTCATACACCCTCCTCCAGAGCCACACACACACAGCAAGCGCTCCAGAAAGGTTTGCTCAACTCAAGGGAAGCGTCTGCCAGCAACTTTACCAGAAATGGAATGACAACAAAAAGTTGGATGATGGCAGAAAAAACGGACAGGTTGCTCATACTGCAGGAGCTGGTGAATACCCTGCAGATGATAAGCGGAGGAGATGGAAAGAAATAGCATCTATCTTTTAAAAACTGCCTACTACGGAGTGTCCCAAATAAGCGTACGCCCCTTTCAGAGGTTAACCCAAAACAACGCTCTGGCGCTGGCGACGGGCACGCTGAACATTTCTGCCTTTAAGGAAACCCAAACGGGTAGGTAGGTCAACTTCTGTCCACTCTACCCATTAAATTATACCTTCATATCACGCTAATAAATTATGCAGGCGGTTTATTGGGACACGCTGTAGGTCTGGCATTCCGATAAGCGCTTTACACGCCCCATTTCACTTTACCTTAACAACCTTAACAGGCAGCGAGGGTATTAGCCCCTTTTTCCAACCGAGACACAAAGAGTTTTAAGTGACTTGCCTAGAGGGGCAGACCCGGGATTTGCACCCGCGTTGGACACCTGCTTGCAACCACTATGCTACAGACCCGAGCTGACGAGATTTAGATGTTCCGGATCTCGGGGACTTGAAGTGGGGACACCCGCCCCCCCAGCCCTGGGAATAACTTCGGCATCCCCGCGCGCGACGCGTGAGGAAAAGCGGCCGTGGCACCTGTTTCTGGTCCCAGCAAGGGTGGAGGAAATGGGAGCTCCCGGGGTCCAAGCTGGAGGGCGCTCCGAGGCTGGGGGCGCAGAAGGACCCACCTCCTCCGGGAAGGCCCCGCGGGCGGGAGAGAGGCCCGGGGGAAGGTGGCCGGGCGCGCGGGCCCGCCGAGGCCTAGGCCCCACCCGCCGCCCACCTCTCCACCGCCGCGGCGCCCGCGAGGACTCCGCCAGGCCCGGCCTGGCCCGGCCGCCTCACCTGGCTGCTGCCCCGAGCTCGTCCCCCGGCCGGCGGTCCTGGGCGGCGGCGACGAGGAGGGGAAGGAGGAAGGAAGAAGGGAGAGGAGGAAGGGAGAGAAGAAGGGAAGAGGCGGAGTGGCCGCAGAAGAGGCGGGCGCCGCCGGGCCGGGGGTTCAAAGGAAGGGGGAGCTGAGAGAGACGCGGCGGCGGGCGGCGCAAACGCTGAAGAGCCGCTCCGGCGCCCGCAGCCCGGCAGGAAGTGACGGGGGAGGGGCCGGCGCCCGCCCCCGGCCCCCGCCCGCCTCCATGCCCGGCCCCACCCCCCAGCCGCAGCCCGGACCACAAGTCCCGGCGGCCGCTGCGGCCGCGAAGCCTGCTCTCGCAAAGCACGCCGGGAGCCTGGCGGGCGGGGGCCCGGTTTCCCCTGAGCCGCCGCGGCCTGCCCTGAACCCCCGAGCCTGCTGGGAGTTGTAGTTCGGCTGGGAGTTGCTCGCTGCCGGCTAGACCAAGCGGGGCTGAGAGAGCCGGCCTGCCTTCTTTCCAACCCCACTTCCTTCTTCCTTCTTTCTCTATGTCCTTCTTGTCCCGCCTGTCTGCCCTTTCTTTGTTTCCCGCAATTGTTCCTTCCTCCTTCAGTAAATAAACATTCTGTAAATGTTTATTAAACGCCTACTGTGTGCAAAGTATTGTTCGAAGAGCTAAGAATGTAGTGGTGAACAGACAGAAATCTTTGCCCTTGTGGAGCTTACATTCTACTGGGGGTAAAACACACAATAAATAAAATCGGTAACTTTTATAGTGAGATGAAAGGCAAGAAGTGCCAGATTGCTATTTCTTTCACCCAGCTCAAGATAAACTGGGTGGTTTTAGTAGCTGTGTTATATGGGAGGTTGGCGGGAGGAGAGAGTAATGAGTGGAAACTCTAAAACCATACTCAGCAAAAATCGTACACGCATTGTGAGAGAACCAAGAAACTGAGAGTGAGTGCAGTAACTGCAGGTACAAAAGGCTCCTCTCTCTTGCTCACTCTGGGACGGCTTCCCCACTATTTAGATATAATTTCTTCTCTGTTCCATGCACGCTCTCTCTTTCAGTATCTCTTGATCTAACGATTGCTCAATCTTTCTTGCCAAGGAAATATAGTTAAACTTTGTATAAGCTCATAATATGACATGCTGTGGCTAAAGGGGCCCCTCCAAACAATGCTTTGGAGCCTTGTGCAAGCCTTAGAGGACACTTTTCTCCGGACCAGGCCTCTTTGCTTTACTTCTTGCAAAATGCAGTAAGACAATTTCAGGACACCGAAAACAAAGGACTTTCACCATCCCTTTAGTGCCTATACAAGACAGTACTAAGAAACATTCAGATACTCTCCAACCTCTCCTGAAAGTGATTTTGTTTTCTTTCTAATTTTGGAGCAGTGTGGATGGATCCCATAGCCCACTCCGATAGAGGAGCAGGCACAGAGGAGTTTCCCTAAATCCAAAGCCAGTTCATGGGCACAATCAGACAATCTCTTAAAAGGTGGTTTTGGTATTACCTGGGGATCCAAGTGGTGGGCCTCTAACTTCCAGTCTCTACTTTTCTCCTCTCCTTTCTACATTGAGAAGGCAACCTCTCTATTTTTTAGTAGAAACATTAACAAGAAAGAATTTTTAGATAAAAATCAACTTCTCACAGGGTTTTGATGAGCTTTGCATGTTCCCATGCCTTAGTACAAATACATATAATTTATCTTTTGAGGAGGAACACAGAATTTATTGTAACATGCTTAATGGTCACAGTTTCTTGCTTCCATGTGTGGAAAGAAAAATAATTCCATAATTACTTGGCAAGAGTCAAGAGGCCTTCAGACAACCAAGGAAACAATCATTAGAGTGAATAGACAACCTACAGAATGGGAGAAAATAATTCATGCCATACCTCCAATAAAGGGCTAATAACCAGAATCTACAAAGAACTAAAGCAAATCAGCAAGAAAAAAATCAACCCCATTAAAAAGTACGCAAAAGACATGAACAGAAACTTTTCAAAAGAAGATAGACTAACGGTCAACAAACATGAAAAAATGCTCAACATCTCTAATCATCAGAGAAATGCAAATCAAAACCACAAAGAGATATCACCTAACTCCAGTGAGAATCTTTCATCAAAAAGTCCCCAAACAACAAATGCTGCCATGAATGTGGAGAGATAGGAACACTTCCACACTGTTGGTAGAACTGCAAAGTAGTACAGCCTCTATGGAAAGTAGTATGGAGATACTTCAAAGAACTAAAAGTAGATCTACCATTTGATCCAGCAATTCCACTACTGGGTATTTACCCAAAGGAAAAAATGACGTTTTATAAAAAAGACACCAAGGCCAGGAGTGGTGGTTCACACCTGTAATTCTAGCACTCTGGGAGGCCGAGGTGGGCAGATTGCTCAAGGTCAGGAGTTCAAAACCAGCTGGAGCAAGAGTGAGACCCCATCTCTACTATAAATAGAAAGAAATTAATTGGACAACTAATATATATAGAAAAAAATTAGCTGGGCATGGTGGCACATGCCTGTAGTCCCAGCTACTTGGGAGGCTGAGGCAGAAGGAGTGCTTGAGCCCAGGAGTTTGAGGTTGCTGTGAGCTAGGCTGACACCATGGCATTCAATCTAGCCTGGGCAACAAAGCGAGAGTCTGTCTCCAAAAAAAAAAAAAAAATCAAATTATATAAGCATATGATTATGTTAAAAAAAAAAAAAAAAGACACCAGCTCCTGAATATTTATAGCAGCACAATTCACAATTGCAAAGATGTGGAAACAACCCAAGTGCCCATCAATACATGAATGGATTAATAAAATGTGGCATCTGTATACCATGGAGTACCACTCAGTCATAAAAAAAATGGTGAACCTCTTGTATTAGCCTGTATGGAAGTGGAGACCATTATTTTAAGTGAAGTGTCACAAGAATGGAAAAACAAACACCACATGTACTCCCTATTAAATTGGAACTAACCAAACAGCACTTATGTGCACATATGGAAATAAAACTCATTGGAAATCAAGCAGGTGGGAGGGGGAGGAGAGGATGAGTAAATTGACACCTAACAGGTCCAATGTACACTATCTGGGTGATGGTCACACTTATAACTTTGACTCAAACTGTACAAAAGCAATTTATGTAACCCAAAACTTTTGTACCCCCGTAATACTCTGAAATAAAATAAAATAAAATAAATAGGTCTTTAGGACCTTGGAAGAGAACTTGACTGACAGTCTCTACGTACAAATAGAGAAAAACAAATCTAAGTGACCCACTGCTGAACCCCAGGCAGCCCCATGGCTAACTTATGCCTTGGTTAAATATGAGTCCTTGGTTACACAAAGTGAAAGTTCAGAGTAGTTCTCAAAATGAGGAATGTTAAATCTTCAGGTTGTGATTGTTTGTTTTTTCCCTTTTTCCTTCTTTGTTTTAATTTTAATTACAGTAGTTACTATCATTCTAACATTTAACATAATAATCTGGCTTTGTATCATCCCTTTAAAAAGGAGGCAGATTTGGCTACACACAGCCTGCTGGGTAGCAGTTGCACCCTATAGGTGGGGCATGTTCTTTTCATTTCACCACAGTCCCCACCCTGTCCCCCCCCTCATTTATGTTACTTTCCTCTTCCTGTTGACATTTGAGCTTGCAATGCCTGCCCTACTATGTAAATGCACAGTGTAAATGTGGGCATGATGAATCGTGGGAAAGACAGGCCCTGGTCAAATAACCTCCAACTGCAACAGTGATAAGCACACGAAGGAAAGGTAGATGGCATTGTGAAACCCTAGCTTCAGGGTTGAGGGAAGGGACATCTTGAAGCATTATAGCTTCAGCAAAGATCTGACCACTACAAAGGTGGAAACTAGGCAGAAAGGATACAGCAAGTGTTCCCGGCAAAGGAGAAGGAGTACAAAGTCCTATGGGACAGCACGTGGGACAGCACATGGCTCAGGTTCCAGTTACCATTGTTACAAAAGAAATCACTCCCAGTGATTTAAAAGAACAGCATTTTATTATCTCTCATGGATTCTCTGGGTCAGGAATTGGGGAAGGGTTTGCCTGATAGGCTTTAACTTGGAGTCTGTAATACGGAGCTGGGCCGCTGGGGGACAGAGCATCAGGGGGCTAACTGGGCATCTCTCTCTTTATGTGGCCTGAGGCCCATCCCTGTGGTCTCTTGGCTTGGGCTAACTTGAGCTTCCTGCAGTATAGTGGCCTCAGAGCTGTCGAATTGTTTACATGGCAGCCAAAGGCTTCAAGAGTTAAGATTCCAGCCAACAAGACAGAGTTGCATCACCTTATGTGACCTAGCCTTAGATGTCACATAGAACCACATCCACTATACATTACTGGCTACAAATAAGGCACAGGTTTGTCCAGATCCAAGGGCAGGGGGATTAGCTCTACCTCCTGATGGAGGAGTGGCAAAGATCAAGAACAGCATGTAAGAGAGTAGACACTGTTAAGTGATCTCTGGAAAACACAGTCACCACAGCCCATGTTAGAGAACTGAAAAGGCCATCGTGGCTGCCACTCAGCAGATGGGAGCATGATTCACGATTAAGCTGGAGATCAGCAAAGGCCAGGCAACACCTTGCTCACAGACCTTGTTAAGGAGTTCTGTCTCTGTTGTAAGGGCAATGAGATGCCACTGGAGAGTTTTAAACAGGAAGTGACATGGCCAGATTTAAGTTTTGCAAAGATTCTCTAGCTAGTCTGGGGAGAAAGGACTGGCTTCTGTGAAGAAGATAAATTGTACCTGTTAGGTGTGAGGGGATGTCCAAGTGGGGCTCAGTGAAGTGCCTGCTGCGTGGTCCAGGTGGGAGAGGACAGTGGCCTGGATTTGGGTGACGGTGGACGTGCGAGAGAAATGAATGGATTTAAGGGTTACTTAGGAGAACATACAGGATATGGACCTGGATGGCAGCAGGGGGGAAGTGTAAGAGAAGTAGCAAGAATGACTGCTAGATTTCTAGAAGATAAGGACTTTTTTTCCAGACACTTTGAGTCTGGCATGCCTTGTAGACTTTTAAGTAGAAATTTCAAGGAGGCAGGTCTGGAGCTCAGAGGAAAGTCAGGGCTAGAGACACAAATATGTGAGTCAGTAGCATTTGAGAAGTAATTGAAGCCTTGGCTATGGACGTTAATGGATGTTAACACCTGAGGAATTATCTCTGCTTTGCTCTTGTAGCCTCTCAGCAGAACTTTGCACCCTTGTAATTACTCAATTATTTGCTGAG